CCTCACTTAATCATGTAGTATCGACTTAATTAAAGACCCTTTCTATGGTAAAGCACAACAAATCAAGCCTATCTACTTCCATGTTCTATATTTCACCTACAATCTTTTGCATAATCTCTTATGTAACATCTCTTACATCATATGCATGCATTTAGGTACCGCAAAGTTGGAGAGATGTCAAGTAATGTCCCAAGGACATTGGAGCATTGCTTATTCACCATGAAGGCCTTAAGCATCTTGACTCTTTTACAATTGAATAACTTGACTTTGTTGTATGATATGCATGTTTACTTATGTACGACTAGCCTTTATTCCTTTTGTTCATACCCATGCCTTGAAGTATTGTTCGTTTAGTTCTTAGACCATAATATCTGCTTAGCTTGCTTAGCCTGGTAGAAGTCAAGAATGTGACGGCTTTCTCATTGGCTGCACAAGTTAGGAGTTGATTGTTTTAGCTTCAAGGACCGAGATGCCTAAGAGGGATGGGGATTCGAATTAGGTAACTTTAAAACTAGTGGCCTCTAAAACCTACTTATCAAAACCTATGCAAGATATCTATCTAGATGTGAAACTAAGATTTTGCTAAGTATTTTCTATCTCTACCATGAGTTTTGCACCATAGGTTCCAATCTTATCAACTAACCTAGCAAGCTATACTAGGAAGGTAAAGTACACAACCAAAGGAATGCAAGTAAATGTGGAAGCTTAAATGAGATAGAGAATGCAAACTCGTGATGACGGTATTTTTGCTGAGGTATAAAGAACCTCACCCTTCCCCTAATCCTCATTGGAACCCCTCACAAGGATGCCCTCATAAGGGCTAAGCTTCCGATCAGATAACTCTGTGGATAGCCCTGAGCCTTCCCTATGTGCAAGTGGGTCTCCGAGATGACCTTTCCCGGATCGCTCCTTGCCATCTCCACTATCAAGCTTTTTGTCGAATCATCGTGGGCCTCATTCCCTCCAATAGGCCATCAGCGGCCACATCTCCAACACGATTGATGTGATCTTGCAAGATTAAAAGCCCCTCTGGATATAATAATGGTGTGAACAAGCACTGGGTCACAAGTGGTATGCAAACATCATTAAACATTATGTCTAAGGCTAGAGCAAAGCACCAATTGGGTGGTCTAACGATCCTAAGCACTACGCTAATCACCTAATATTTTCTTAAGCACTTTTGGTGAATAGAGCACTTGGAATGGAGCCTCAACTCTCTAGAACTTCAGCACACCCTAACACGTAAGACTTGGAATAGCCCCAGTAACCAAAACTGGCCATTGTGCATGAACTATTGTTCTGCAGTGAGCACCAGAAGAATATCCATTAGGACTAGCTTTTGCCAACTATATATTGGAGAGCCTTTTCTCTGGTGTTTTTTCTTTGATTATTCACCAGAGTTTTCTAGTGGCCTTGAAAACCTTTTGTATAACTTTTGTTGAGCTCCCTTTGTTTCAGTGCCCTATCACCGAAGCTTTCCGGTGCCTTCTGCAGCTCCACCGCGCATCCAAACATACTCCCCCCATTCTCTTTTATTAGGCATAGGTTTCTCAGTTTTGATGGTTTATTAGGTGTGGGAGCACGTAAGAGCATCTCCAAGAGTTCCCTAAATATTCCTCCTAAAAACTCTATGTTTACCAATTCATAAAAGACATTAGAAGAAAAAAAGGACATCTCTGATAGTTCTTAATATTTGACTTTAAAAAATTAAATGTTGGTCCCCATTCTCTTTTTTTTTTATTAGGCATAGGTTTCCTCGTGTGTTTTCCCGATGGTTTATTAGGTGTGGGTCACGCAAAAGTGCAACATCTGCCCTCCAACCAGTTCCCTAAATATTCCTCCTAAAAACTATATATAAAATCTTATATGGTTAATTTATTTGCAACCAATTCAATTCAATAACATATTTTAAACATGTCCGATATTAGAAAAAATCAAGGAACAATGTAAGGACATCTGTAGATGCATGATAATTCTTAATATTTGACTTTAAAAATTAAATGTTTTTCCACCCATGACAAATGTTTTAGTTAACATTTTTCAACACCTGGTCTTTCTTTTTTTTATTTTGGATTAAAAATAAAAAAGAAAAATACCTTAGGCTCAAACAATTGATCGGTGATCGTAATTGCAGAAGAAGCCAAGAATCAAGATGTCGCCGCCGTGGAGCCCTGCCGTCACCATCCTCGTCGTCTCCTGTAGTTTAGCTCTTGGCAAGGGCTCGCTCACTCACACCTCCATGTCGCAAGTCACGATCAAAGTGTGCTATGGCAGCCTCCTCGCCTCCTCTCTACCCGAGGACCGTGGGGAAAGGAAAATAGGAAATAAATGTTGATGTTGTCTTTTTAGGCCACTTTGGCCGGTTCTATGCCTCTCTTCACGTTTGCTAATGCAATGAACTATAGCATCTGTGAGTTTGTATACGCGGCTTGGGCCCTCCCCGCTTGGTAGCGTGTCAAGCCTCCTCGCCTACCCTTAGGGCCGCATCTGTAGCGCATATGCAGAAGCAACAGCAAGAGCAAGAGGCAGACATCGGCGATGGTTGCCGGTCATCAAGTAGCAACAACAGGTAGCCATCAGTACCAGGAACAGCAGGTAGGCGGCGGCGACGATCTCCTTCTCGTTCGCGCGCGGGAGGTGAAGGAAACCGAGCGGGAGTTGAAGGATACGCGCGAGTTAGAGACGCGTAAAGTTAGACGGACGAGGTGGATTTTTTCCGACTCCTAAAATATCAGGAGATTGTATTAGGAGTTATCAGAGAAGGATTTTTTCTTATCTTTTTAAAATTCAAGAATTAGGAGGAGGTTTAGGGAACTCTTGGAGATGCTCTAACAAGGTAGGAGTCGAAACGCAAGCGCGATAGTTACTTGTTCACAGAAAATACGAGGCGTTTTTAGGGCTAGGAGCGGACGAGACGCTTTCTTGGTTGGTTTAACTAGGCCGAAAGTCACATGCATGCATGGATGGATAAAGCACAGCCCTCAACGGTCCGTTAATGCTCCACCTAGATATCCAAAATCTCTTGGTACCCATAAAACTCTTCTCCACTTCTAAAAAAAATAAGAATGAAGTACTTCTCTAAAACAAAGATATGGTGACCATCTTCGGTGCACCACTGGATGGTAAGGTGGCATCTTCTAGTTCTGCCCATTGTTAGCTAGCAGCCAAAGTCTCAATTTAGTTTTGGTAATTAAGTGGCAATCATAGGTGGACTAATGTTTTCATGTGAGATGAATATGTGATGCATTGTCCATAATGAAAAGTTGAGCCACTTGAGGCCAGGGTGGAAATTGGCATATTTGCATGTGGTGCAAAGGCTCAACTAGTGAAGAGTTGAAGATGAGATGAAATTATCAAAGAAAAAGAGAAGATCAATAGAGGTGAAGCATATTGGATATGGGATATGAAGTAGTCCTATATGGCATTTGTCCGCCAAAACGGTTGTTTAGTCTATTTAACGAAGCCATCTGTGTCGTTTATGCCATAAACGATGAATCAAACGGTTAGATCGTATAAACCGTTAAAACCCGTATAAAAGTTCTAAACATGATCAGGTTAAACATGATTAAATAAGCTAAAGAACCATTTAATCCATAATTTAGTCAATTGGAGGACTATGACTACCACAATCAACACGAAACTAATTAACATTGTAAGTATATGAAGTGTTGTGGGATTTAGATTTCTTCCAAAAATATTATTTGGTAGAATACTTATTTTTAGAGACGGTTGGAAATAGAGTCACTTCTGAAAATAGGAGCTGCACAGTAAATTCGATTTTTTCAAATGCCTTGGACAAAGAAACGATTAAAACCAAAGTTATAGATGTCAAAGTAGTCAGCCGCTCCAACAGTAACATGATAATCCCGATTCTCTCCACACAACACAAAGAAACGCGTGACGCTTTATACAACTCAAAATTAATATCTTGATAGTTTTGTTTGCCACATGCAGTAACTTGGGGCTCCTTTTGTAGTAGTACATACAATACAAAAACAGAAAAAAAAAGTATTGTATAAGATTGATACGGATCGAGATGACACCTCTAGTCCCAAATATGGATGAGAAAAACAGGAAAAAAAACAGTATTGTATAAGATTGATACGGATCGGAATGACACCTCCGGCCCCAAATATGGAAGAAAACTCCCCAATTTGTCTAATATTGACAGGGTGATAATTTCAGTCCCAGCGCTGCTTCAGAAAAACCACAGGCTAGTTTGGAACCGGACAGGAAAACAATGGACAATTTTTCAAAATTATCACATTCAGAGGCGTAACGATAGCGAGTCTTCCTGCAGTAAAAGAAGTGGAACTTCAACGAGAATTATTTTGCATATATTCTTAAACTCCAGGGACAAACGACCACAAGTAACTAAGATCTAGGAGCTAGTGGAAGCAGTAGTATGTGGGTCTTAGCACGACAGCTACTGAAGAGCTTTGTCATGTAGCATACACTACATAATAGGAAGAAGGTTTACATGATACTAATACTAACATGAAGCATCCTATAACTATTATTTAAATGTAATTAAGCCGGTGATATTATCGTGCAACGATCAGAATTTTATAGGAATGACATAATAGTATGCCCTCTAAGGATCAAAGTGTTATATGCACACTGCAATTACTTTTTGTATTTGTTGTCCTCAAAACATAGCTCTCCATTCTGTGTCCTCTCAAGACAAATCTCTCTTGTCTATAACCACACGTACGGAGATCTTATGTCAATCCTGTGGTCTACACACTCTGGCCATCTTTTACATGTAAATCCTAACTGTCGAACCATTTTAACAGTGACAGCGATAACCTATTTGAGGTTAAATATTGGTTTTATTAACTAGTGCCTACTCATTGATTGTTTTGTACCAGCTATGCTAGAGATGGTTTTACAAGTACACAGGTGGCTAACAGAATACGGTAAGAAAGGAGGCACGATTTATTTGCTAACACTCAAAGTAAGTGCAGAATACTCACATAGGAGGCAATCGTTGGTAAACTTTATATTGTGTGCATTCGACGAATCAGTTCAGGATCCAATTGTCCGCTACTGTAACTAGATGGTACAGCAGAAATTTCCTGCTTTCCTATCCACTCTTCGCCTGGCTTTAAAGTAATTGGCTTCTCAATAGCTCCAGCCCCCACGCATAGCATGTTTTTGTACTCCTCATCCCCGAAATCTGGCATTGCTTTGGCCTTCTTGTCCCAAGGGTTCCAAACAACTGCAAAATGAGAAGGGCCGGCAATGATATATACCATGGAAATGAAAAGGGCAACATCCAGAATTTCACAAATCAACATTGTAATCGAATAATGAAAAAAAGGTCCTAACTCACCAACATCAGGAAGTCCCTCTTTCCTCAAAACAAATGTTCTTTTCTTCTCGTGGTCAATGACCACAATCTTTGGCGGAGCACTCAAATATACCTTGTCCACCTTACTCAAAAAACAACATAAATGTAATTAGAGTTTCATTGGTACAGAAATGGCGTCAAACCATGAAATTTAGCAGAACACAAGCTTACTTCAGACTCAAATACAACTGCATCTCCTTGTTCAGTACAACGATTCTTGGATTGCAAGTTGTCAAGATAGTCCAAGGTCTCCAAACCTTCAACCCTCACTTCACTGAATGTAAAAATATGTTTCAGGGAATGGGAACTGAAAGTAGTCAATGATCCATGTAAATCTATTTGATGATCCGCACATTCTATTTGCAGTATTGATATGGCCCTATTGATAACCACTTGGTAAGGTTGTGATGGTGAGGTTCCTATTCAAGGATAAGCAGTTCCTTGTACACTGTCCCTTTTTCTTGAAGATTTGAAGGCGTATTGAGTCTGAAGGTGATAAATTCAACATCACCCAGTATTGAAGCAAGTTTTTTATTGGCTATGCACCTTTGCACTCAAAGAGTGTAAGAAACACCTGGTGCAAACATAAAGCAAACAAATGGCATTTTACAAGGTACCTGATGTCAGACACCGAAAAGTAGGTGTGGTATGCAAATGTAAATTGGAATGGCTTGCTATCTGAGCTGATATTTTTTATTCGAGATGTAAGCATAAGATCTCCACTTGGACTAAGAGCAACTCTCAGACGAAATTCATAACTTCAAGGCATGGGCAGTGAACATGATTGGATCAGTGGTGAGGCCCAATGAATATAGTGACAATTTTTATCAGATATAGTGATATAGATGATTCAATGATTGACTAGATATGGTGACCTATGTGGCCAGATCTTCAAATCCTCTTGAGATGACTTGAGTATCAAGTCAATATGACAATTGGAAGTAGCAACTGGAAAAGGAGGTGGACTTTCATCGACACTCCAAAATCGGTTCCTTGCAAATCCATGCTGTTCAAGAACTCCATGGTTACCTAGCTGCAAGATGGCATTGTTAATCTGGGTGTTACAAGACAAATTGCTTCCATGGGAAACAGAACTTGGTTAAATGGCTTGATGACCATACTTGAGGGAAGCAAATTTGGATGCCACCACGAATTGCTTTTGGCGGTTTAAAAGTAGCCTGACAAGAAATATAGAAATGTATAATTACTAGGACCGATGGAGCCATACTCAAACTTGTGAAAGATTGCAACACCTTGAATAGGAAAGAAGACTTAGCATACAACTCCCTGCTACCAGTGGATCATCCGACATTAGTATTACCGTAACATAATGGTGAAGGCTAACGAGTTTTAAATGCTAGTCTAATCCTAACATTGTCCAATGCCAACATGATAGGAAACTGAAGAGTAGCACCTGATGTAATAAAATAAGAATAAACACAAAGCACATTTTACTGAAACTAAAATATCTGAATACCTTGTTACTGACAAAAAGCAGTTGCTGACCGAAGTTATTTTTCCACAATGTCACTTGGCCTCCATATAAATATACCTGTTAACAGTTGAACATAGAAACTGAGGATACCAATGCTTGTTGTGGGATAATATCACTCGCAGGAACTTGAAATGTAAAAAAGGGGCAACTTATTTTTATGACCAAAATGGCATATATATATTCTTGTGCAGATGGCCAAAGAATAAGCAAGCAATGACCACTGGTAGCATCTCTATTGATATTTCAGTCTCAAATTGATTTTTTTTTCAGAAGCTGATCATAATCAAAAGATAGACTGTCAAGGGCGTCAATGCCCAAGACAGCGGGTCCTCGGCTACGGAGCTCGTAGCCTTGGCTGATAATGGCGTCGGGGTTGTTGCCCGGCTGCCCAATGGTGAAGGAGGTGAGATTAGGAAGAAGAGAGAGGATTAGGATTGGTAATTCTTGATTGATTCCAAGAGTGCCAATTACATGGATTATATAGGCCCGTGGCCAGCTAATAAAAATGAAACAAACTCCTTTATTCTAGCAATATCTGATTCTAGCATTATCTGATTGCATGGTTGCATCCTAAATCAGCTCCTAGATGCGTGGCCGGCGTCGGTACTGGACGCCCCACATGACATCTCTCCCCCCCCTCGACGAGCAGCTCGTCCTCGAGTTGGAATGTGGGGTAGCGGGCGACGAAGCTGTCGAGGTCTTCCCACGATGCTGATGAAGCGGTTCGCCCTTCCAGTGAACGAGCAGCTGGCGAACGCCACGGTTAAGGCGAGCGCGCGTGACGCGGTCGGGCTCCGGAACCGCCGCTCCGTGGTGGATCGGTGGTAGGGCCGGTGGAGACGTCGGGGGCGTGCCGGCGAACTTCTTCAGGAGGCCGACGTGGAAGACGTCGTGAAGGCGGGCGCTATCCGGCAGCTCTAGGCGGTAGGCGACGTCGTTGATGACGGCGGCGACTCGGTACGGCCCGTAGAAGTGGGGTTTAAGTTTGCCCGTGGTCGGAGCTTGGAGGGATGCTGCGGCACGCTGATGGAGGCGGAGCCAGACCCAGTCGCCGACGGCGTAGTGGACCTCCCTGTGGTGCTTGTCGTAGTAGGCCTTGTACACCGCTTGAGCCTGCTGAAGCCGGTAGCGGACGTCGACGAGCAGCTCATCACGTTCCGCCATGGACTTGGCCACGGCTGCAACCCTAGTGTCGCCGGGCTCGTAGGAACGGATCGTGGGCGGGTCACGGCCGTAGACAATCTTGAAGGCCGTGTCCTTGAGCGCTGTCTGGAACGCCGTGTTGTAGATGAACTCTGCCCATGGGAGCCAACGGACCCATTGCCGAGGACGATCACCCGTGAGGCAGCGGAGGTACATGACGATGATCTTGTTCGCGGCCTGTCTGTCCGTCCGCTTGTGGGTGGAACGCCGACGTCATGTGGAGCTTGGTGCCCATGAGCCGCATGAGTTCGCGCTAGAATGCTGACGTGAAGATGGGATCCCGGTCGGAGACCGTAGACTGCGGGACGCCATGGAGGCGTACAATCTTTGCGAAGAATGCCCGGGCCACCGACTCTGCCGTGTACAAGTGCGCGAGGGAGATGAAGTGGCAGTACTTGCTGAAGCGATCCACCACCGTTAGGATGACAGACTTGCCGCCCATGCGCGAAAGCGCCTCGATGAAGTCGAGGCCGATATCAGTCCAGACCGCCGTCGGGACGGGCAGCGGTAGAAGGAGACCCACGGGGTGCAGGTGCTCGGACTTGTACCGCTGGCAGGTGGCGCAGGCGCGGATATGATCTTACACCGTCTTGTGAAGGTTGGGCGAGTGGAAGTCCCGGTGGAGGCGGTGGAGCGTGCACTGAACACCCTCATGTCCATCGTCGTGGACGGCGGTGAGCACCTCGTGGAGTAGTGGTGATGCCGGCGGGATGTAGAGGTAGCCGTTGAATGCAACGAGGCCGTCGAGGATTGACCAGGGAGCCACGTGTGTACCTGCCGCTAGCTCGTCCCTGAGCGCCACCAGAGCCGGATCGGTGGACGTAGCTTGGCGGAGGCGGTCGATGAAGTCGAAGCGGGGGCCCAAGATAGCCAGGGCCACGGCCTCCTCCATGTCGCGGCGAGAAAGGGCGTCCGCGACTGTGTTCGTGTTCCCCGCCTTGTACTCGACGGAGAAGTCGAAGCCGAGGAGCTTGCCCACCCAGTGGTGCTGTGGAATGGTGGCCAAGCGCTGATCCAAGAGGAACTTGAGACTGAAATGGTCAGTCCTTACCATGAAGCAGCGTCCCCACAAGTATGGCCTCCAATGGCGGATGGCGAGGATGAGGCCAATGAGTCCACGTTCGTACGCCGCCAAGGACGCATGGCATGGCGCGGTCGGCCGGCTGAAGAACGCCAGCGGGTGCTGGTCCTGGAGGAGCACGGCACCGAACCCGTAACTTGACGCGTCGCACTCGACGACAAAGGAGTGGTTGAAGTCGGGCAGGGCGAGAACAGGCGCCGTCGTCACGGCAGTCTTGAGGGCGGCGAAAGCCGCAGCAGCTTCCGGTGTCCAGGAGAACCCTTCCTTGCGGAGGAGGGCTGTCAGGGGGGCGGCGATCGTGCCGAATTCCCTGACAAACTTGCGGTAGTACCCCGCCAGGCCGAGGAAGCCCCGAACCGCCCGCGCCGAGCGAGGCTGCGGCCAGTCGGCCACTGCTTGGACCTTGGCGGGATCCATGGCGACACCCGCAGCGGAGATGATGTGGCCGAGGTAGGAGATCGATTCGACCCCAAACGCGCACTTGGATCGCTTGACGAAGAGCTGATGCTGCTGGAGCGTGCTGAGGACGGCGTGCACATGGCGAAGATGATCGGCCCATGACTCGCTGTAGATGAGGATATCGTCGAAGAAGACGAGGACGAAGCGGCGTAGGAAGGGGCACAGAACATCGTGCATGAGCGCCTAGAATGTTGCCGGCGCGTTGCAGAGGCCGAACGGCATGACAAGGAATTCGTAGAGGCCGTCGTGGGTGCGGAAGGCGGTCTTGGCGACGTCGTCGGCGCGCATCCGAACCTGGTGGTAACCGGAGCGCAGGTCGAGCTTGGTGAAGAAGCGGGCATGGCGAAGCTCGTCCAGTAGTTCGTCGACCACCGGAATCGGGAACGCATCCTTGATTGTGATGGCGTTTAGGGCACGATAGTCCACGCAGAATCGCCAGGAGCCATCGGCCTTCTGGACCAAGAGAACCGACGACGAGAACACCGAGGAACTGCGGCGAATGATGCCCTGGGCCATCATCGCGGTGCATTGGCGCTTCAATTCATCCTTGTGCGATGCGGGGTAGCGGTACGGCCGGATAGCCACCGGGGCGGATCCCGACAGAAGGTTGATGCAGTGGTCGCGAGTGCGTGCCGGAGGCATGCCGAAGTGCTCGGCGAAGACAGGGGCAAACTCCTCAAGGATGGCGGTGAGGAGATCGGCGTCGATGCAGGCCTGGAGTGTCGGGCCTGTGGGAGCCGCCGTGCCGCACCAGCGCATCCGGCGACCGCCATGCCAGAAGGACATGGTGAGGGAGCCGAAATCCCACAGAATCGGGCCCAACATTGCCACCCACTGGGTCCCTAGGATGACGTCGTACCCAACCAACGGCAGGATGTAGAAATCCGCAGTGAACTCCTCATCATTGATGGAGAACGACGCGTTGCGGAACACGCCGGGGCACTGGACGCGCTCGCCATTGGCCACTGTGACCCGCAGTTGTCCCTGGGTGATGGACGGAAGCGAGGCGTGGGCGGCCGCCTCCTCGGCGATGAAGTTGTGCGTCGAGCCGGAGTCGAGCATGGTGAGGAGGGAGGTGCCGCCCATCATGAGACGCATCTGCATGGTCTCACTGGTGCACACGCCAGCAATGGCATGGAGTGAGATCTAGGGCTCCGCTGGGGTGGCCTCGTCTGTCTCAGAGTCGTCGTTGTCCTCGGCCACCGCCAAGTCGAGGAGGAAGATGCGTTGGCAGACGCGGTTGTGGCCTCGCCCAAACTTCTCGTTGCAGTTGAAGCAGAGGCCTAGGCGGCGGCACTCTTCCATCTCTGCTTGCGACAGTCGCTTGACCTGGCGGCCCTCGACGGTGACCGGCTGTGGCGCTGGTGCGGGCGCCGTGTTGGGCGCTGGGAGCGCCAGACGAGGTGGTGGCGCTGGTAGAAGGCCCCTCTGGTGATCACGCCCGGGTCGTGGTGGTGGCGCGGCCGCCGTGGCACACTGTTCACGGAGCTCCAACTTGCGGGCGAGGCTCATGGCGACAGCGAGGGACTGAGGGTTGTGGACCTCGACGTCGAGGCTAAGTGGCGGCTGGAGGCCCCCGGTGAAGAGTTGGACGCGCTGTTCCTCATCGAGGCACCCGGCATGAGGGAGGAGCACTTGAAAACGTTCCTGGTACTCCTCGACAGTGCCGGTGCGCTTGCACGAGGCCAATTCGTGGAGGGGATTGGAGCGCAGCGGTGGTCCATAGCAGAGATGGAGAAGATCCTTGAAGCGGCGCTAGGAGGGGATGCCCTCGTCTGTCTGGACCTGGAGGTACCACAGCTGGGCGCCCTCCTCCAAATTGTAGGAAGCCATCCACAGTTCTCCTCCTCCATGATCCTTTGCTGGTGGAAATATGATTCGCACCGGTTGATGAAGATCAGCGGGTCAGACTTGCCGTCATAGCGCGGGAAGTCGAGCTTTTGGAACCGCGGCAGACGATCTTGGTGGTGCTCCCCCGTCCCGGAGTGAGAGGAGGATGACCAACCGCCCGGTGGTGGGCGCGCGGCGTCCAGGTGTTGAATGGCCTGGGCGTTGGCCTCCACGGACGTCTAGAACGTCCTGATGGACGCGACTAGGGAATCAAGGTCGCCTGCAAGGCGGCGTTGTTCACAGTGTTGTCGCCCATGGTGTGGATGTGGCGTGGGGTGGGCGGCGCAGAGGAAGGGCGGGACGACTGTGGCGGCGATGGTGGGCGGCTGGGAGAGGAATCCCTGGACCGTGATACCAGGTTGTCAATGGCGTCAATGCCCAAGACAGCGGGTCCTCGGCTACGGAGCTCGTAGCCTTGGCTGATAATGACGTCGGGGTTGTTGCCCGGCTACCCAATGGTGAAGGAGGTGAGATTAGGAAGAAGAGAGAGGATTAGGATTGGTAATTCTTGATTGATTCCAAGAGTGCCAATTACATGAATTATATAGGCCTGTGGCCAGCTAATAAAAAGGAAACAGACTCCTTTATTCTCGCAATATCTAGTTCTAGCATTATCTGATTGTATGGCTGCATGCCTAAATCAGCTCCTAGATGCGTGGCCGGTGTCGGTACTGGACACCCCACATGACATAGACATGTACCTCAGGCCCCATGCCCAACTGAATTATAATTGTTGGAAAGGAGGAATAAGCTGACATTTGGACTTCTAGTTCTTACAACCAGCTGTTGGAGTTGGACAGCTTGCACACTAGTAGATCGCGGTATAATTAAACAGAGAAAAATAATCTAGTGCCAAAAAAGCAAATTAAGGTGCGGAAATAAATTCAACAAAATGGGACTTATAGTCACTACTAGCCGTTGAGTATTTCCTTATAGATTGCATGCATACAGCAACCTTCCAGGTTAGCAGAGTGTGTGTTACCAGGTCTAAGTAAGGAAAAATACTGACTATTCAGGAGCAATATAGTTTACGATAACTCTACACCATTGATGCCGCGTTAGCCATTATGGCCTGCACTGCGATGATTTTGATAGGAGGAGATATCGACACCAATGTGACATGTCACGAGTGTCACGTCCATGTCCAATATATATGATATATATGCATCTCATTAAGTTATCTAGCTGTCTGTTCCGTCTCCAGAAGCTTAATAAAAAGGCAGAGGCAAATAAAAACAAGAGATTATACCAGGACTGTCCCTTGTGCATATTCAGAAACTAGAATTCTACTTATTTAATTAAAAACATTCAGTACTGTTTGGACAATGTCCAACCATGACCAAGTATCTACGACTACAAACAAAAGATGACTAAATAAACAAATAAAAAAATGCCACCAGAAAAGAAAACACATATATACATACATTAACGCAATTCCAGGCAAAACTGCAGCTGAGCAAAAGCATCACGGAAGCCCACGCAAGGCCAACCACATCGCTGAACGATCAAATCAACGGATAATACTTTATGAAGCACGAAATGATCCATCGATAAACGAAGGGTCAAACACTAGGTTGGCATCTGATGACCAAACCTACCTTCCACTACATGGTCACAACTCACAACACTGTTCCTTGACCAAACCAGACATTACCAACCCCAGTAGTAAGTAATAAATCTCTGTTAAACCACAAGTTAATTACACACCCTACCGCGATCGAGCCTAGCTAGCAATGCTCTCGAATACAACGAAACGAAATTAATTTGCGGGGGACCGAAACAATTGAGGGCAAAGAGCAGATGATTTTTTCAGAAGAGCAATCGAGCAACAACAGAGAATTTGCCTGACCTCGACGGAGCTGCCCCGGGCCTCGCGGAGCACGAACTTGTCGAGGCCGGTGGCGCGGTCCTTCACGCGCTCCACGGATGCCGCCCCTGACATTCCTCAGTCGCCGACGACGAGGAATTGAAGCGCCGGATCGCGCGTCCGTTAGCCGGGAAGGGTGGGTGGACCGTGGAGGGAGGGAACTGGGGAACTTGTTTGCGTTCGTGGGAGGGCTCATTTATAGGCGGCGGCGGCAGAGTGGTCACCGGGCAGCCTGAACCTTGATGTGTCAGCACGGGCAAAGCGGCTTCATGTGCATTCAGAGACCTATTTTCATGAGTGCGTGTTCTAGTGTTTATTCAAAATTCATTTTTTTGGGTGATATTTTGCTACCAAATCCAGAGTACTTCCGGGGACGCCAGCTGTGAGGTTTCAGGCACAGCCAGACAGATAATCGAACACTCCATGGACTAATTCCTTTAAGAATTAAAAAAATGAAGGTATTTCATTGACTAGACTTAACGTAAAATCTTTCCAAAAAAATAAATAAAAGATGAAAGGGCCGTGGAATTTTAAGTGATTGCATGCATGTCTACATATAAATACTCTAGGATTGTTTCCAAGTTATTTTGGTTCGGCCGTTCGGGAGTGATGAGATTTTTTTTAAAAAAATAGAAAAATCGTATCTGTGGAGCAATGCTCCGTCGTGGCGAAACGAAGATTGTACTGTTGCAGCATTGCTTGAGAAAAGTCATGTCATGGTATGTTTGCCGTCCATTGAACCGGCTCCAGCCTCTCGAGCAGGGTTAGCCGATCGATACCATACAAATTGAGAAGATTCCTCTTGATTCCATCTCTTGACCCTTACAAAGATTCCTCTTCAGCCACACTGAACGACACACATCAGGCATTATTATTAGCACCAAATTACCGCCAAGTGAATCGATACAGCAAGTACAGTATTATACAATAAGATACATACGTATACTGCGCACAATCACTACTTAAAAAAACATTTTTAGGGGCGGCTGGTAACCCTTTGTATGGGCGGTTTGGCCAGCCGCCCCTACCGAACCGTCTCTACAAATCATGTATTTGTAGGGGCGGTTCCTAGGCCGTCCCTACAAATCGATTTATAGGGGTGGTTGGTGATTGAGCCACCCCTACAAATAGATTTGTAGGGCGGTAATATTAAAACCGCCCTACTATTTGTAGGGAAGCGGCTCAAGAACCAACCGCCTACAAATCTATTTGTAGGGGCGGCTATAAATGACCGCCTCTATAATACCTATTTGTAGGGGCGGTTCAATCTAGAACCGCCTACAAAGATGCGTTTTCCATAAAAAAAAAATCAAATTTACAATTCAAATTCGACCAGAACTGTTTGTTTCTGCGTATTCCATCCAGCATCCGCGTTGCCGAACGCCCCGCGACCAACGTTCCGAACCGCGTTCGCGTTGCCGAACGCCACGCGACCAACGTTCCGAACGCGACTACAAGCGCAATAGTATTATATAAAGTACAATTACAAATCCAATTCGTAATGATATATGTATACAATCCATCATTAAATATACAAATTTCATACACATTGTTACCAACGTCCTAGAGCTAGCCTTTCAGTCTCACGAAGGTGTTGGTACTGAGGATTTGTACCTAAGTCAGACTCTCGATCATGGTAGGCGCCTCTGACGTGTACAATCTGGTCCAATATGAAGTTGCAAAGGTCGTTGACGAGCTCTAAGAGTTGGTCATCCTTGTATGGGTCTCTTTTCATTCCTTTCTCTTCTCTCCACTACAAGAAAACAAGTTTCAGTTTAGTATTTCATACCATTTATGAAGTTTTTATACTACGGGTGAAGAGGTTCAAACTTATCCTTAAGGGGTGTCTTCTGTAGGTATCGGTGTTACTCATCATAGAACATATATAGTATCCACAATGTACACTCTCAGGCCTCTGCTTGGGGCACTGTGTGTTTTGCATATGAAAATATTAGGTAATGCTTTTGACAGCCATGTAACGGAGTACTGAAGAAGTAAGTTACACTTACCGCACATAGTGTTTTTATAGCCAGCTTTTCCTTCCTCGCTGGATCATGCCTTCCGTGATGATGAGAGACATAGAACCTAAATGCCCTGTTCGAATTATTTTAGCAAATACAACTTGTTAGTATGCATAAGTGAACGTTACAAGTATGTATACAGACATATAAGCTAATGAGGATTGTCGATATGTATACGTCTTGAGAATCGATATGAAGTCTTTGTATGTCGCCGGGTCCTTATCTATTGAATCAAAGACCCATGCCATGCTCTTCCCCGACATCGACGGCTATACAAATCCAAAGGGTTGCTTTGCATGGATTTAATCATAGAACTAGATAAGCTCTTTTACATCGAATAAAATATATCGAACATAGCTTTAAGTTATAGTTGAACTTACTCGAAGTTGTATGGTAGCCATATAGTAGAGTGTTGTTGGAGATTTTTGAAAGCCGTGAGCAATGTATGCCGCAACCGTAAGGGACTCTTCCCTTAACCGCTTTACTGGATGCGCTTTTTCTCTCCCGAAGAGTCTTTGCAACTGCTAGCTCTTTGGCATCCAAAGGTCCCACCGTTTAGGGTAATTAAAATTTGTTTGGGCTATAGCTTGAGGGTCTACATACCCGGCTTTCACACTTGGCATTTGTTTGACAATGTGCACTTGCATTCTACAAATCACGGCGTGGGTTAGTTACAACAAAATTCAAAGATTACATTCATATCATATCGGGAGGACAAGGACTTACAAGCACCACGTGCGAATTAGATTCATCTCCATTTCTCCCAGGTGAAAGCATGTGTGCATGTCATTGAAGTCAAAGACAATTTTCCTACTGGGCTTTCAAATGTGCCGGTGGGGAAAGCATGCTTGTATGATATCTATGCTCGTTGGGAGAACACGCATAAGTACCAATCATGGAACCTTCTCATTCCAAGTGGTAGTATTGGATGTCCCGGTTTGGTAGGAAGGGCTTGCCTCTTTCATATTTTTTTCGGGCAATTCTTTGACCATTCGATGGCATCAACATTTGGATATTGCTTTGCAATTTGGTGAAGTTTACTCTTGACGGCCTCCTCGAACCCCGTGATGGGACTTTTTAACTTGGTTTTCGAGCTTGAACCGATCATGGGAATACCACTTGGACACCGAGCGAGACGCGTCTTTGATCGGAACATAAACCGGCCTTATGTGGATTGGAATCTTCTTTCGAGTTCCCATTCGTGCACGTCCTCATCTTCTTGTGCATCACCTTCTTGAGAAGCACTCGTTGTTCATGTATCGGTTGTGCTTATTGAGAAGACTGTGGCATCTCATGATGCACTTGCCCGTCTGAGCCGAGAAGGTTGTGGCATCTCATCGAGCACATGCTCGATAGGAGGCGGGGAAGAATGTGGCATCTCGAGAATGTGGGGTCACGAGACGGTGAAAATATCTCCCGGCCTCAACAACTCGCTCCAAATTTGGGAGAGGGGAGGCGGCGAAGAAGCGATCAATATAATGTCCCGTTTGTGCGGAGGATGAACTATCCCATAACGTCTCCGAGTAACACCAGGCCCTCGGGAGTTGCGTAGTCTATCCTCCACTGCATGAACTTGGGCTTCACTGTATGCACCTCGACCCTAGTGTAGTCTGGCGGTATGTTATTATTGTGGTGTAAGCCACCGGGAGGATGTGCAACACCTGTTGCCACCTCCATCACAAAGATGTTCTGCACGGCCACCGAGAAACACCAAGGTGCAACTAGTAGGTTCCCGTATGAGATCGGCCCGAGGTTGTGGCTGCAGTGGAACCTTGGCTGCTAGGAACTTTCGGAGGGCTGCCAACTAATGCCGCCTCCGGTGGCGTCACTAATATACGGCTCCATAGACATTCCTTGCTCCTCCAGTAGCCTTACCAAACTAGAGCCTTCATTTGGAGCTCAAGACTAGTCTCCTGGTCTCGGCCATGTTTCTTGTACATGTGCCTGTCCTCTTCGAATCCTTGCTTCCAAGTCATCCTTTTCCCTAGCCCCCAGTGCGGCTGTGTGCTCCTTGTTTCCCAAGCCAAGGCTAAGCTCGTCCCTCTCTCTGGAAGGATTGAATGAGCCCTTCTCTTTGTCTTCAAAGACATATTTCAAGATATCCTTGATACCGCCTCTTGGGTCTCCGGCTTATCAAACTTAAGATTATTGCGGATGGTTCTCAGACTCCTCGCATATATCCGGTTCCTTGAGCGTACCTTCAACTTCGTCACACATCGATATTCCCAAAGCAATGCAGCCCTCTTCATTCATCTTTCTAAACTGCTCTTCCTTGGCATAGTAGCCACCGGGGCCCTAAATGATGGTGGTGTTTGTTCCTCTTCGCTAGCTTTCGGTGTTCTGAGCACCGAGCTCAATGCCTCCATCAAGTCTTCGAGCCACGAGCTCCTCCCATTGACTAGGAGTTATTTTGTCGAACTTCGTTGAAGGGAGTTAACTCCTTTTGGATATACTTCGTGTTAAGCTCGACCTCCAACATCGCAATGACTCTCCCATCATCCCGATAGCATTTTTTTTACCAATTCGTGCTTACCCTCCGGAAATCTAAAATTGACCTTCAATTTGCCTATCCCATAGTGCATTCTTTATGTTCTCTGGTACCTCTTTCCGCTTAGGGATTGCTTGGGTTCAATTTATCTCTTACTAGGGCCTGATCGCATTACAGGAATCGTCCTCTTAATTCCTTCGGCTCAAGGATCTCCCCTATTTGGCCCAACCTCCGTTATCACATAGCAAGCCTTATCTGGATATAGATTTCCTTTTCTATCCTCTCGTTTCCTCTTAGGCTTGGTAGTCGTGGTTGTGTCTTGAGTTTGTGGAGCGAGGCATCGTGATCCGTCTCTATGGTTGTTGCCTCTCGCTCTCCTTTCCTCTCTCCGTCTTGTCCAAATGAGATGTCGCGGACGTCGACGCGTCGCCTTTTCTCGAGTTTCGGGAGGGACCAGTATATAGGGACAGTCAAAGTGTTAGCAGAGGTAACACACCCAAAGCTTTAGCAAAATTTACAAGCTAAGGCTTCTTCCCTACCTCCTCGTTCGGGTCAAAATTCTTATC